TCACCAATGATTTTTCCGGACCAATACGACTTAGAGACCATCAAGAAAAAGCCTACTCCTTGTATAAGCCCGACAACGCATTTGCATTTACCATCAGGTGAGCCGCAAGCTTAGCGACTACTTCAATAAAAAAAAATGAAACCATATTAGTGCCACAAGTTTTGAGAAGATGACCGCTCAGGCTTTTTGACAGAAGAGTTTCTGAAATTAAAACAAGTGTTTATCATTATGGCGAACAAGGTAAAATAAAAAATGGAAACCTTTCTTTTCTTTCTTCTTTAGTTTAAAAACTGTTACACCCACACTAGGATTTTCTCCTGTATCGTGGAGACGGTTTACAAACATAAATTGCACTAGGACAAACATCCAGACCCTTGACGTGTTTTTGTACGGGATTCGAACCCGCACCGCGGCCTTTAGCGCCGCAACTCAATGCGGTCATTAAGTGAGGCACGTTTTCATGGCTCGAACTAAACTAAACTAAAACTCGGATCTTGGTCCATGGTAACAACGTAACGGTTAACTTAAAATATTAATAGTGTTGGAAGAAAGTAGCTCAACTTATGCGATAAGCTTAGACTTGACACATTGCAGCGTATTTATGACTACCAGCGAAAGACTACGCTCGTACATAAAACCAGCGTAAAATAGCACCATAATGTTGTTGTGTTTCGTTTGATAAGTGAGAACCGGAAACCTTTTTTACTGCTAGAAAGGCATCTAAATTTAATCCTCAGAGATCACAATGCATCTGCATTTTGATTTTTGAGGATAGAATGGTGTCTTTGAGCCACAGCATCTATATAATTACCATGAGATGGACTGATTACTCGTTTGTCAATGTTATATAAAAACATAATTCTAAATATGTTTTGTACTGCGAAACGATGTTATTACTGTTCAGAATTAAGGTAGGCCTCGCCTAGTAAACTCATGATATCTAACGAACCAACAAACTACTTTGTCAATCCTTGAGTTTTTCTTAGTTTCCTTTTCTATGCATGCTAGGCCGAAGCCCTAGCCTCTTTCATTCACAAGATTGAACACGCTCCCTAGTGTGTGCGAAAAGAGCTTATCATAAAGCACATGTATTAGAGAATTCTTTGATGCAAAGTAGTACTGCCTTCCGTCTGGATGCAACGGGACATGTCCCGGTTTGAAGTGTTGTGTCTCCGTGTCCAAATGAGTCCGTGCATTGTATTTTCTGCCGATTTCCAAAAAGGAGACGGTACTCAATCCGACTGTATTTTTTTTGTTTTTTTTATGTGTGTTACCTCATAACTTTTTACTGGGTGAACCGATTTCGATGATTTTTTTTTATATTAAAGCTGATACTTCTCGTGTGGTCTAATATCAATTTGATCAAGGTCAGACCAATAGTTTTTGAGTTATTCTTAATAACTTATATTGAAGTCGGCGGTATAAAGTTTTTAAATTTAAATTATTATACGCTAATATTACATTAAAATATCTATCATAATTTAAAACCAAAAATTTTGTATGGGACCACACGAGAAGTATCAGCTTGCATATAAAAAAAGAAGCATCGAAATTGGTCCACCCAGTAAAAATTTAGAAGGTAACACACATTAAAAAAAAACATACGCGTCGAATTGAGTACCGTCTCCTTTTGGAAGTCGGCAGAAAATTAAATGAAATTGTTCTTAAGTCTTACATGGGTATAAATCTGATCAACTAGTATGTTGATTAGAGTTCTTATAATATTTAACGAGATTTTAAACTATCTATGGTGTACCAAATTTCTATTTCTAATGTCCCAGTTGGCGCTGAAAGATTTATGCCTGCCCTAATTGTAACGTAATGGTGTGGGCATGTTTATCGTCATTTCAGTCACGACGTAAACATAACGCCATGTATTCACTAGGTAACAATTTTTTCTAATCACCATCGCAACAATTTCAATCATTTGAAATTGTTGCGATTAGCACCACGTGTTTCCAGTTGCCGTGCTCCCCGCTAACGATGAAAAGCAAGAGAAACAATTCAGTCAAAGGTACTCTGTAAATTCAGTTTCGCAACGAATGTTTATGACTGTAGATGCATGTTTCACTTTTTAGGAATAGGGCGTTAGTATGGTACGACGAATCATATATTTGAAAACAAGAAAAGTGGCGCCTGGAAAGATATTTCAAAACAAAAGGTCTAGGAATTTCAAAGCAAGTTGCAGGAAGCAAAATGCATAGGTCATGTTGTGGTCACAATTTTAGAGAAAAACAACATCGATTGGCATTGCAAATGTCAAAAATAATTGTAAACGATTCGTCAGACACGCGGTAATCACTCGTTAAGTTTTGCATTCTGAAAAGATAATTCCGAACCTACATTTTCATTTTCTTTACTTTTGTCCAATGGAATGTACGCGGCGCCCAACAGCATTACTTTCTCCGGCAAGATATTCGCAGTGATTGAATGATATGGACTGCGGAATCCTCAGAAACGTAGTTTTCTGAAAGAGCTACGTGACTTCTCAACAGCTGTAAACTTGTATCTGAAACATTGCTTACAAGTGAATAAGAGGCTTTACTGTGTTATGTTTGTGTAGTAATACACTATTTTTAAACTTTAAATGAAAACAACTGACATTATCTTTTACAGTAGGTATATAGGTCTACCGTTTAATTGCCACATAATAGTACGTACCTCAAGAGTCGAGCGTTGAGGTAAAAGTAACGGATGAGAAAGGGTGCCACCTGCCTACGTACCTCAAGAGTCGAGCGTTGAGGTAAAAGTAACGGATGAGAAAGGGTGCCACCTGCCACCCGTTTCTGGAATTGTTCTGTCCCGTCCAGGTTTTTCTGGAACTGTCTTGATTTAAGAGACGTTCGAAGATCGTCCAGTGGTCATTTGAACTATATTATGTCCCGAGAGTTTTTATTGGTTCCACAAATCCTCGCAAAAAAAACCGGCAAAGTTGCGAGTCGGACTCACGCATGAAGGGTTCCTTACCATCGTAAAACATGTTTCTAGTAGGGGAGCCTCCTTTAATTTTTAATTTATTTTTATTTTTATTATTTGTTCTTATAGCGGCAACAGAAATACACATTCTGTGAAAATTTCAACATATTACGGATCATGAGACAGACAGACAGACGGACGGACGGATGGTCGGACAGCGGAGGCTTAGTAATAGGGTCCCATTGGTTACCCTTCGGGTACGGAACCCCAAAAACACCGATTCATCAAATCGATCTTGATTCAATCAAAGGTTATTCGTGAGGGTATTAAAATGAAATAAAACAATGGCTGAGTGCCACTATCTATTTGGATAAAACTGTTCAAAAATGTATAAACATTGCAAAAAAACAGCAAACAATAAATTTTTATTAAATAGTAAAAATATATGTCTTGGACAATCGTAAAAAATAGGACTAATTGTGATTATACTAAAAACTACATAAATAAAATAATAAATAATGGAAAGGCGGTAACGGAACCTGTTGAAATAGCATCTATTATAAATAATTATTTTACTAACGCAACAAATCAGGTAAATGATTAAAAAGAAAATACAACTGACATGAAATTACCTCAATCAATTTTTTTTACTCCTATAAATAAGAATATTATCAGAAAAATAATAATGTATTTAAATAACACATAATCTGAAGATTATGATTCCATATCTATTAAAATAATTAAATCATTTAAGAATTAAATAAACCTAGCAAGCTAACAGCATAGCAAAGTGGCGAAGCAATCAGCTTTGTAGCGGTTTCTAACGGTTGCCGTTGAGCAATCAGTTTCAAAATAGGAGGTTCAGATACCTGGGTGATCAGTAATCGATTGCTGAAAACAGAATTTGAAAATTCGAAACCATTCTCGAGATAATCGTGGGTCAGACGGACAGACGGACAGACATCGTGAAATCAATATGTGACTTCGCAAGCTTAGCCACTTAATAAGTGAAATATTAACATTCCCGATAAATCTTTCAGTCAGTTCAGAGTCAGAGATTTTTCCTAACAATTTAAAACTTTTTGTAGTATAACCTTTCAATAGTTGTACAAAAAGGGAGCTAAAAGTGATATAATCAACTATCGACCAATTGCACTAGTCCAAGTCCTCTCAAAAATATTCGAAAAGGTCATGCATTACCAACTTACTTCCTTTTTTAGTAAATTTAATGTAATTAAACAAAATCAGCATGGTTTCCAAAAAAATAAATCCACAGCACATGCTGCATTTATATTGGTGAAGGAAGTATTGCATAATGTAAATCAAAGAAACTATACAATAGTAATATTTCTTGACATGTCTAAAGTCTTCGACCGCGTCTCACATGATCAGTTAGTTACCAAACTAAAGGCTAACGGAATAAGCCTGCTTTAAGTTGGCTAGAAAGCTATTTAAAAATAGGTCACAGTGTGTAGAAATAACACAATTAAATTCCAACAACATAACTCAGGTGTATAGATTGGAATTCAAAAATAACAATTTCGGTGTTCCCCAAGGTAGTATACTCGGGCCATTGTAGTTTATATTAAACACAAATTATTTACCTGACGCCTCCAACTACAAAACTACTTTATTTGCAGATGCCATCTCGGTGACGATTACGACTAGTAAAAAAAATACACTTGAGCAACACAAAACGGACATAGTTAAAACAATTAATTCAGTAAATAAATGGCTTAGTAAAAATAATATACACATTAATTTAAGTAAAACAAATGTCATTAATTTTAATAACTTAAATTCTGATTAACCAACAAGCTGACCAAAACAGTGATCCAGATACTTTTTTTCAGTTTATTTCTAAATATGAAAGACTCCTGAAATAAAACAAGCAATGCCAAAATTTACATTAAATTTTCTTTAAAATAATATCCAGAACATAGATATAACAGGGCCTATCCACAAGAAAATGCATTTATTTTTCAAATCTGATTATCTAAATGATTATGTGGGTTGAAACATTTTTGCATAACACAATCCAATTATGTAAAACTCAGGGGAGCATTATGAAATATTATTTACAGAGCAAAGGGAAGAAGAAGCTCCGGCTGACTTTTGGCTGGACGTGGCCACACACGGCGTCAATTCATGCATAGCAGTTGTCGAGTTGCTAGCATCTCGGACACCTGTGCGGTTACTACATATGTACCAACCGCTGGGAGTGGGCCTTTGGTATGCGGCATTCTCTGGCGTCTACTATGCAGCAGGCGGCACTGATAGGTATTTAAAATTAAATTAATAATTATATTCACTGACTCTACAATAGGTGGAATAATCTCAAACTATTTAAGAGTAAAAAGTATCAAAAATTGTTTACATTTTTATGTAAAATATTTTAAAAGGATACTGATACTGAATATATCCCAGTGCATCATTTTCCCCTTTTTTAAGAGTTTTATAGATCAATGCACAATAGTGTTTATCTTGCAGATGTTAAAAATTAATTAGCTTATATCCGCGTAATAAAATAACATGATATGTTTTACCTAGTCTGAAGAGCACCTTTGGCACTCCCTCAATCACGTGCAATAACCCAGTCACCACTAATCCCAACATCACTATATACTAGGAAAGGCCATCACCATCGTCGATGATACAATACATGTTTCGCTTCGAAGCGAGGCATCCTCAAGTGAAATAGACTCTGCGGTGGCTGACCGCCAAGACTTAGACCTTAGGCTAAAACTTTTAAAAGCATGTCTTTTTCTTTCTTTTTGTTAGAATAGAATAGAATAATTTTTTATTCAATATTGATTATTACATGATACTTATTGAAAGTCATTTTTATTTACCACTGGTTCGGAAAATACCTCTGTCCTGGGAAGAACCAGCAAGAAACCCAGCGGAACTTTTTTTTTCAAACATATTTCACTTAACAATAATTTCGTTTATACAATTTTTAAATGATTTTTCATAGAACCAGCATGGTGGCGATCACCTTATTCCCAGGGGTTATTTTCATTCATGTATTCCTTGATATTATAATAACCCTTTTTGTGCAGTTTTTCTTTAATAAAACTTTTAAACTTGTTTATTGACAAACTTTGAATATGTTCTGGGATTTTGTTGTAAAAGCGTATACATTGCCCCATAAATGAATTACTGATTCTGTGGAGTCTAGTAACTGGCATTACAAGCTTCTTATTTAGCAGCTTCTAGCAGCAGTCTATCCACTCCATTACAAGCCGAATTAATTGAACATCAATCTTTATTAACATGGGTAGGTGTATTTTTAACATGAAAATATATTTCATTTTCAGCTTAGGCAACCCCTTTATTTACGAAGTTTTGGATTGGCGGCAAGGAACCCGTGCAGGGGCGGTAGTGGCCGCGTCCGCCGCTTGTTTGATAATCTTATACCTTGTAATTTGGGGGACGGCTTTCTGCAGGGACAAGCTCTCTTTATCAATCATACGGACAACGAGCCATACCTTGCCGATGACTCCACAGGACGCTCATCAAATTGTATGATAATGATGTGACAACTTTTGACTCTTTTTATTTTAATTTAATTGTACAAAAACAGATTTGACGGGAACATCCTTAATATTAAGTGAAGTAAATAAAGTTTAATTTAAATGTTATAAAGCAGGTGCTTATTTGCCTTTAATGTTTTCACTTTTACTTTTATATAACCTACATCAATGAGTTGGACTTTGCAAATATATTAGATAATATAGATAATAGAGAATTATCTCGCTAATAGTATTATCAAATTATCTATTTCTCTCTATTTCCAATAATATTATATTATAACATTAGCATAATTCAGAAGTGGACTTGTAAATGGCTTTACCTAATGATGATTAAGATGATGATGATGATGAATTATTAAAAACAAAATATTTAGGAGACAATATAACAAAATGTTAATCTAGAAGACTAAACGAATGTATAAAATAAACAAAGGTTAATCAGTTTCATAAAAATTCATAAATCAGTCATATAAATTGGTAAAAAAATTGTCCAGAAATAAACTAAGAGAGACCTGTTTTCAATTCCTTCACAAACACAGTACAATTTAAATAAACATACACAATGATTAAAAATGTGTTTAAAATAATATTAAGCTACTGTTAACTGTACTTTAATGTATTTATAATAATGCTTTAGAATATTCTTTTAAAACTTATTCACGATTACCAAAGAAAACCACTTCTGGGCGCATTGGCAGAGTATTTTCTCAGTGGGTGACCGGCGCGGCGGGGGAGGAGGAAGCCGGAAAGATTGTCCATCTTATTATATCTATATTATTTTCTTCTTATATCCTTGAGGTGATACTGACCGGCGTTACCGGACGTAATGTAACGTGTTACACAGCGAGCGTTCGTACAGTCAGTACGGGGACACAAGGGGCTTATTAGTTGTGATTGTTTGTAGTTAAAAAGATGGAGTGGGACAGACATAGAACTCTGTATTTCGTCATATATCCCAATACAACTTCGTTATCCGACATCTTGACTACGAGCGAATCTGAAGCACGGGCGAGCAAAGAGTTCGGTGTTACATGAATTTTAGCACATGGCGTAATGTATGCTCGCCCCGTAACACCGGTCAATAACCACCACCTAAGACCGACAAAGAAAGAAAGTCGAGGCATTGCACTCAATTTATTGTAAGAATACGCACTTATATTACACATATGCATCTAAAATCATTTACAACAAACAACATGGATTTAGGTGCGTATGTGTACGTCCAGCGGTGAAAATTTAAAGGATGTTAAATAATAAAAAAGAGAAAAATGTGTTCGTGAGTGCGCCTCAAGAGGCATGGTTTCGAAGTCCCTAGAGTACGCACATTTCTTTGTTGGTCAGAGATTGTATTGTGGAAACTCGGAGATTTTTTTATAGGATAGGGTGACAAACGAGCACACAGTCCACCTGATGGTGGGTGATTGCTGTGGCCCATAGACATCTACATTTATCCTCGTTTGCGAATCTTGGGGACTAAGATGGAATGCCTCTTTTCCAGTAAAAAGGGTCTCCGGTCCTCTACACTTACCATACGAAACACAACAGTGTTAAGTTGCTATTTTACGCTGGTATTCTCTGAGAGCGTGATCCTTCCCCGTTCGTGCTACAACTATATACTACTAATATAGCTGCAGCATGGCTCTACCACGTATAAATAGAGATAATTTAGTTATCAAAGTAGTCAACGTATATTTTTCATCTGTCTCGGCAGCCTCGTACTGGTAGACGAAGTGACAGACGACTTTCAAACTTATATATAGATATCCGCAGTAGAACCAGAGTAGTCGACATAGTCCACCGGATTAGTAAGCTAAAGTGGCAATGGGCCGGCTAAAGCTCGAAGAACTGATAATCGATGGGTAAAAAAGGTTCTCGAGTGGCAGCCTCGTATCGGTGGGCGAAGTGTAGGGGGACCCACCCCCCTTAGATGGAGTGAAGTGCTGGTAAAACATGCAGAATGTCGATGGATGCAGGTGGCTCAGAACCGTGCTTTGTAGCATTCCTAATGGGACTCCTATGTTCAGCAGTGGACTTGTGAAGGGCTGTAATGACGATGACTAGTCTATGATAACGTTTACACTATGTTTTAGTTTTTAAAATATCGAAAAGAAGCCGAAGTCGTAACGCGTGTAAAATTAGTACCTACGCTGCGAAAGCTTATTGATCTAAAAAAATTGCCTTTCTTCAGTTTCTAAACCATTACAGGAAATTGCATTGAGTCATAAAATGTGTACTTAGAAGTAGTTATTAAGAACTTTTGTATACTTTAGGTATACTGTGAGTGTCCTTCATTTTATATTATGTAAGTACTTAAATAAATATTGTTGAGAAAATATTTCGTTTTATTTTAAGCTAAGAAAACCTGCAGTACAGTCTATGAATAAGACCACCTAATTAAATTGCACTGGAAAAATATATTTTTGTTATTTATTTTTGGATATTTTTTTAACAACTGATGTAACTGAATAAACCAGAAAAATCATAAGCCCAATAATACACATTCATATTATGTATATTCAATTTAACCATTTCTGAATAACAAAATCTTGAGTAGTGTTAAATACAACACACAAAAATAAAAGCTCAGATCATCATTATTTCGAATAGAAAGCACTAAGTAATCTGATAAACTTAAATATATTCTATGTCCATTAGATGTATATTATATGCACAAATAACACAATATTTATTAACCACCCTCTTACCTAGTTTTGTCACCAGGTAGCAGTGCTTGAGCACTGCTGTCTCTGTTACTTACACACACACTCCGCATCAAATCAAAAGCCTTTTAAATACATTGCACTGCTGGACGACTGTTGTATCGTATGTTGCGTATTATTTATGGTGTCATATGGTGCCCGTTACTTGAAGATTTGCATACACACATTTGTGAAACTTCGGTTCAGAGTTGCTGCCCAGATCTTTGCTTTCCGTCGCTGGTCTGGGCATTTTACATTTTCAGGCATACAGGTTTCCAGCTTTCAGAAACTATAATTTAATTCCATCTTCACCAGACGCTCTGCCGTTTTTAATGTGCGTGATTTATGTTATTTGTTTATTTTCCAATAAAAATTACGTAACATAAGCCATAACTGAAAATCGAAAAAAGTTTGTTTTCATTTTGCTTATGTCTTTTATTTTATAGAAATCCTCAGCGTAAAAATTGTTCTAATTTTATGATTTATTACCCCGTATTAGACATAATGCTTACGATTTATTACCACTCCACTCGGTTATCGTAAACTGCGACAGAAGGAGGCTGAACCAGGTGATGTGCAGCAGTGTCTTTCTCATAACAACTAAAAATATCCATCTTCACCAGATGCTTTTTCCCTTTTCAAGATGCTGAAGGGCCATCTCGCTCAAGCCAACGGCCGGGATATCACCCAAGTGATGTCGCATGAGACTTATTTTTGAGGGTAAAATGAGGGTGACAAACAAACCCTCAGTCCAATCCAGGGGCGTAGCTACCGCCGTATCAGCCGTATCAATGATACGGGGCCCCCGGGCTACAGGGGCCCCAAACGTGTGTGAGCAAAAATTCCAAGGACTTCTATGGGACAGGAAAGGCTATCACTATTGTCTATAGAAGTAAAGAATTTAGTAAAACTGAAATCGTATTCAGCTATGAATGCAGCCGAATCTTCTTCAGCTGTGTTCGCCGAACAAAAGGCACGAAAAGTGTATATTTGATTTGAATTGTTTGGCTAGCTTAGTTCCTGGGAGTATTAATTGTAAGTAATAACTCAAAAACCCGTGTAGTGGCACGGGTGGCAGTGGAGAAAACTCTATATCTATCCTATATCTTCCCGTAAGTGTCGTAAAAGGCGACAGAGGGAGGCAGAGGATGGGCAGCATTATCTTTCTGATAAGAGCAAAACAACAATAAAAAAACTGCGGTTGCCAACCCGCTCGCCAAGCGTGGCAACTATGGCAATATATCCCCCATGAAAGTAACGAAGAGATGGCCCCCAGTCCCCGGCGGCCCCTCTATTCCTGGCTACGGTGGCGACTATAGTAACGGCGGAGCAGGAGGTGCTAAGAATCTCCGGTGGAGGTTCTGTTGCCACCTACGACGACTCGACCTGGCAACTTATAACGCACGCACCCTGAGGACTGACGAGAAGATCGTGGAGCTGGAAGAAGAGATAGACAAGTTGCGCTGGATTGTCATAGGATTATCCGAAGTCCGAAGAGAGGGGGAGGACACGGTAATCCTCGAATCCGGCAATTTGTTCTATCACCAGGATTGTTAACAACGTTGTATAAATTGGGAGTGTGTCGACGAGGGTTGCGTACCTTATACTCAGAATCACCAAACGGTATTCGCTTTTTTATTATTATTAAAGGTCATACAGGTTTACGCACAAACCTCGGAACACCCCGATGAGGAGGTGGAGGACATGTATAAGGGTATTTCTAGAGCCACGCATTCCTCCAAAACCTACTATACGGTGTTAATGGGAGACTTCAACGCAAAACTAGGCACAAGAGGGAACGGTGAGCTGAAAGTAGGGAATTTCCGGAATATGGCAACGGAACCCAAGGGGCCAGCAGCTGGCCTACTTCATGGTGAAAGAGGGACTCTTTATGATGAACTCTTTCGTCCAGAAGCAGCCCCACAGGAAGTGGCCTGGTCGAGCCCCGACGGTTCGACAAAAATGATATTGACTTCATTATGACGACCAGACGACAACTGTTCAGTGACTGAAACCGGTAGCGATCACCGAATGGTGAGAGGCACACTGAACCTAACCGTTGAGTTGGAGAGGTCACGTCTAATGAAGTCAACGCTCCGTCCCTCGTGCTCTTATCCAAAGTCCCGAAACCTTTCAGTTCGAGCTGCGAAACAGATTTCAGTGCCTAGAAGATTGCAATACAGTGGACGATATGAATGACAAGCTCGTGGAAACTGTCCATGCGGTCGGAGCTAAGTTTTGCAAGACCGGCCGCAGAAGAACACAAAAAAATCTCCGATTACACTCTAGATCTCAT